TTATACTTCAGACCCACACGGGGGTAAGCTATGAAATTCTAATATCGCCTTCAAGCTTACTCACTCGGCTCCGAGTGTCCCTTCCCCTGGTACCTTCATGGTCATGGGAACATGGGAACCGGTCTTCTTCAAACGATCGACGGTCTTTGGTAGTCTACTATAATAATACTGTACCTCCAGCAGTATTCCAGAATAGCACTTCAGGTCGTGCTTTTCATGTCATAATTGCCCCTACTCAGTTTGCATGCAATGTGAGTTTACGGGAAAAGTACCAGTGTATTTATTGAAGGCACTTGCTTCTTAATGTTGTTTATTTAGTGTTCGTTCCTAGTGATTACCCTTTAAACATTACGCTTCTTACAGTCAATAATGTTTGATCGGTGATGCATGTCTCAGGGAACTCGGGGTGGATCCGAGGAACTCAGCCAATTTCTCCGAATGATCGAGTCGAATCGAATGAATCCTCTCATGATGATGATGTGGTCTCCGTAGTAGTGGTACGGTATCCTCACAATTTCCAAACTGGAAAGGAGAAACACACACCCCTACACACACACAGCAGGAAGAAAAGATGAGCAAGTTTTTCACATTGTTTTCTGTTTCTGGGAAGAAGTCCAGCAAAGAAGATGGAGTTTCCACGGCCAAAGACAGTATAGATGCGTCGGAACCCACCAACAGTACTAGCAGCTCAAGTAGTACCGGTAGGAGCATTGGTAAGACCAGCACCCATAAGACCAGGCGCACCGGCAGGAAGGATGCTTCCAAAGTTGGAAAAATCGTTGACACGAGGACTGAAAATGAAAGAATGATTGAACAGTACTTTGCTGTTTTGAACTCTCATCCCTCTGCTGATATAATTTTGGAGAGGTTTACCTCCGGCGAGGCGCCTGTCCTGTTGGAAGACAGCGATCCCATGAACGCCACGGTGATAGCAGCAGAAATGCAGAAGATGTATGCAGGATTCAATGATCTTCGGTTCAACTATGCTTCCATCAAAGAAGTCAAGCCAGGTGTTGTGCTTGTGGATGATGTCAATGCCACGGGAACGCACACGGGTCCCTTCCAGTTTGCCAACTTTCCTCCAGTGGCAGCTACCCACAAGCATGTTGCGCTGGATGATGAAAGACTTTGGTATCACATCCAAGATGGTAAGATTGCCAAGTTGGAGCTTTGTGCCATGAGTAGCCTTAGCGGGCCACCTGGGCTGTACATTTCTGTTGGAGGCAAGATGGATATGCCGGCTGGAGAGTAACTTTGGGAACTATTCGGTTTGACCTGGTTACGCCTGCCCAGGCGCAGATGAATCTGAATATGAATCAGCCAGGAACAGAGACAACGTGAAAAGTCAAAGTAGTAGGAAGTGAAAGCAATGTGTATGATGCATAAGATAAGTTCTATAAATAAGAACGAGCTAGCTATAGTAGCTGCTATAGTACATTGTAACGCAGAAAGTCGTGGGGAGAGAATTGTCATGTTGATGTGGTACTCGACCGATGAACGCCCGTCCGTGGCTGCATCAGGTTCATGAACACCATGATCAGCTCGTCCAGACAGCTCCCTCAACCCTGTCGATTCAGTCTCAAAGGTAGAAGGTACACTGTACAGCTGTCATACCAAAAGCAAGCTTGAAGGAAATCTGTGGGAACCAGGAACCAATCGGACCTCCCAAAGGCCCAATCTAATTGTCCGACGTCTCTCAATCAACTCTCTCTACTGGCTAGCTAGCTATCTGGCTAGGGTAGAGCTCAGCTACATATTGTTGCTAACGGTACTAGCTAGCTACGATTTTTGGTTCGAAGTCAGACTCGACTCTGTGTGCAAATGCAGACAGCAGGCACAAGAGCAATGCCTTTTCATTCATTGTTATTTTTCAAAGCGACTGCTAGCTAGTAGTATTACTCGGAGTACTGCGGAGCACCTCCTCCACGTGTATCTCGGCACACACACCAGCTCTTTCTAACAATCATTTTTATGGTAGTCTAGCTGCTCGTCTACTAGCTATTCTATGGCACATGGCACCTACGATTGTTGCAGCACTACTAGCTAGTATGTCATACCAGTACGCTTGGCAGCTGCGTGGATAGCACTATAGCACTAGCTAGCTAGCTAGAGCACTACTCTTTTGTAGCGTAGTAGGGTATGTGACAATAGCTGCTAGAAGCCACCGGTATGCATACGGTATGATATGAAAGATACTGAGATTGGGCTGCTTGCAAGATAATTAGGCAGTGTGGCTGTTGATGAATCCTCTAATAGAACATGCTTCCAGTAACTGGGCTCAGAAAAATAATTATCTAAGATGTGAGGTAGGCATCTGCCGCCTACCGCGTACATTTCCTCCTGGACGGTTAAGTAAAAGTGGAAAAAGTTGGATTTTTGGGTAAACTGGACTTGAAGGTTCCCCAATCCTTAAACAAGTTGTCTACTTTTCACCCATGCTGAAAAGTGTTGAAAAGAGATTCATAATTGTTGAAAAACTGTTGAATAAGTGTTGAATCGTGTTGAAACCCTGTGCACTACGCTAAAAGCTAGTGTAAAGATCTTTCGAGTGTTTTGAGTTTGAGAGAACGAAAGTTATGAGAGGATTAGAAAGCTATGAAAACTAATCGACGAGAGAGATCCACAATCAAAGGATCGTAGATCTGAACTCCCGC